CCCCGCCCCGCCCCGCCCCGCCGCCAGGCCCCTGGGCCAGCCGCTCCTCGCCTCCCGCGGCCACTTCGCCTTCAGCGCGGGGACCCCACGCTAGCGCTGGGGGCACGGGCGTCGGGCGGCAGCGGACGTGGTCCTCTTTTCTAGACGGACGGATACTGTCTCCAAGGAGTGAGGAGACTTTTCTCTAGCGCACGCGACGCCCAGCTAACGGCAAGGTGGGCGCATGCACCCCGTTTGGCCACCGCGCGGACGGCGGTTTTCAAATGCCGGGGGCGGGACCGCACGAGCCCCGCCCAGGTCCGGCTCCATCCAGTCACCTGCTCAAACCTCACCTGTCCCTTTCCACCCTGACTAGGTCCCACCGCATCCTGGTCGGGTCGCACTGAGCTGGGTTCCTTCAATAAGAGTTCCCTTAACACCAGTAAAACAATTGGAAATATTGTGCATTAGAACAGGATTATTTGTATAGCTGGGAAGTGGGACTCATTCTAACTGCGTGGCTAGTTGCTTCCATAACTATAAAAGGAGAGTAGGAAGTAGTAGAAATATGGTGGCATCCAGGGACTTGTTTGAAAGCTGCGTTTATACTGCATGTGTATTGCTTTTTATTCCTATGTAAGAGTCTGTGCTTAGGGGTGGGGGACTGGAGAGGGCTGAAGGCTCCCAGAGCCACCTACCTCCCCAAGTTCTACAGTTTCATCTCTGCCATGAAAGGAACAGGCTAGATTTCAGTGTTTCCCACACTAGCTTGACTGTAAAAATCCACTGGAGAAACTTCTGAGAAATACAGGTTCCCAGATAATCCTGAGTCAGTTGTTTCAGGATGGGGACAAGGAATTTTCTTTTAACAAGGGATACCAAGTGATGATTTATGCTCAGAGAAGTCAGAAATTTGAGGCAAGATCTGTCATTTCCACAGGATTTATGGAAAAAAGCAAGACACTTGAAGTGAGGAGCAGTTTGGAAAACAGCATCTTCACAAAGATTTTCAGTTTTTAAAAACTAAAAGGCGCAATCTGGAATCCAGGAAAGATTAAAGATGTAGGTGAGAAATATGTTCCACGAGCTTGCCAGCAGATGGAGCAACAAAACAAGAAATACTGTAGATGTTCACAGCCCCAATTCAGGGGAGAGAAAGGTCATGAATGGACATCAGAGGACTGGAAGTAACACTTTTTCCTGTGTTTATTTTCTCTATATGCCTAAACTCCTTGCAACCACTAAAGATAGAGTATTTGTGTGACACATTGCTGGAATGTCTTGGTGTATGATGGATGAAACGGTTGGCTTCTAAAGACATAAAAAAGCTGTGATACAGCAAGACTCAGGCAAAACCCCTAATTCTTCTGATGGAGCAAACATCACATCTCACAAAGCTTACCTAAAATTTAAAAAGAGCAGATACAGAGAGAAATTGGAGAAACATTGTGTTTTTAAAAAATGTTGACAGTACAACCAGGACCCTTCGGCATCAGTTATTCGGTACAACTATGTGCCTGGAAATTTAAAAATGAATAGGCATAGATTCTCCTTCCAGGTGCTGGGTCTAGAGGAGGCACATTTACCACAGACAGTGAACAGAATGCTGCAAAGCCTGTGAGTGCTGGGAGGGAGGGTGTGTGGGGAGAGGCTCCGTGTCTTGAGGATGCTGAAGTCCTGAAGGATGAATAGGACTTACAGGAAACGGTAGAGTAAGCAAGGACACTGCACATGGTCCAAGTGGGCATGGGGTGTTTAAAGAACTGCAAGTAATTCGACACAGCAGGAGTGACAGGTACAGCTATGATAGTGGCAGGTGAGGATGCTGAAGGGACAGACCAAGTTCTGGAAGCTGACTAATAATAAAAAGTGAGCATCCAGGCTGCTCAACGCACCCTATTTGGTGCTGAGAATAAAATCAGGGAAGCAGAGACTGTGACAAATGGGAGCGTGAACTCAATACCAGAAGGGGTCTGTGACTGCTTGGTCCCAGCCAGTTCTTACCACAAGGAAAGCACAAGGGAATAAGGACTCAGATTTGCTGGGTCTAAAGTTATTTCACTGGTTTTGTTTGTTTGTTTTTAATTGAGGTGAAATTCACATAATATAAAATTAACCATTTACAGTGAACAATTTGGCGGCATTTAGTACGTTCACAATGTTGTGCAACCCTCTCCTCTATGTAGTTCCAAACATTTTTGTCACCCCCCCAAATAAAACCCCATCCCGGTTAGCAGACATTATCCATTTCCCCACTTCCCCCTGGAAACTACCTATCTGCCTCCTGTCTCTATCACCCCCCCAAATAAAACCCCATCCCGGTTAGCAGACATTATCCATTTCCCCACTTCCCCCAGTACCCTGGAAACTACCTATCTGCCTCCTGTCTCTGTGGATTTGCCCACTCTGTTCATTTCAAATGAACGGAATCATACAATATGTAGCCTTTTGTGTCTGGCTTCTTTCACTGGACATCAGGTTTCCCATTCACATGATAACATATATCAGTGCTTTATTCCTTTTGATGGTTAAATACTATTCTGTTGTGTGGATGGACCACATTTCGTTTATCTACTCATCCATTGATAGATGGTTCTAGCATTTTAAAAGAAAAGCAGGAAGCTTGGACGTGCCCAACTCATTTTCAGCCCATGGTCACTGAGTTTGGGAACATTGTTCTCAGGAGCATTCTGGCAAGGAAGTAATGAAGGAAACATAGAGAACAGACAAACCCCAAGTTAGTTCAGGTACAGTTGACAATATGGTCTTGGTAGACTGTGGCAGAGGTGACAGGAACAGCTAGCTGGCAAAAAGAGTTGAGGGCAAATTGTCCTGAGCACTGAATGCCACATTCAGGAATTTTGGCCATATTCTGTAACCAATCAGCTTCTGAAGTTTTTGAAGCAGAAAACCACACAATCAGAGCAAGCTCTGACCTAGTTTCTTTCACTGAAAGTTCTCAAAACCCCTTTCAACCCACAATCCGGATTTTGTTGCTAAAGTGATAGATGGAGTTGAAACAAACAAACAAACAAAAACCACAAAGGCAATTTCTGTGAATCCTTGAAGTACAAAATTTCAAACCAATTCCTTCCTCCCTTCATATTGATCTTGTTATTCTGGTTCAGCTGAATTGAAGAATTGCCTAGCTTCTCACCTCCCCCTCAGACACCTGATCTAACTAGAAGAACAGAGTGGCTGTGTGCACGTGTCCCTAAGAAAGATGCCGAGCAGT